CTGGCAGAACACATAGTTTTATAGAAACCAGAAATCCCAGAAAGACCGAATCTTTTAAAAAAATAGAACTAATAAATGAATTTAATAAAGTTCTAGTATAAAAATATCAAGATAACAAAAATCAGTTATGTTTCTATACATTAACAACCAATTATTCAGAAAGAAAGTTAGGAAAACAATATTATTCACAGAAGCATTAAGAAGAATAAGAAATTGCCGGGCAAGGTGATGCACGCCTTTAATCCCAGTACTCTGAAGGCAGAAGTGGGCAGACCTCTGTGAGTTCAAGGCCAGTATGGTCTACATAATGAGTTCTAGACAAGCTGGGGCTACAGGGAGACCCAGTCTCAAAAAGACTAAAAAAAAGGGTAAGAAGATTAGGCAAAAGGCCTCTAGCAAACATTGATGAAGGAGGTTAAACAGAACAAAATGGAAAGACCATGCACTTGTTGGGCCAGAAAACTAAACAATTTTAGAATGTTCATTCAACCTATTAACCCTATAAAAATCCGCAAAGACTTTTAGGAATAGAAAAATATCTAGTCAGGAGTGGTGGCACGTGCCTTTAATCCCAACACTTGGAAGGCAGAGGCAGGCAGGTCTTTGTGAGTTTGAGGCCAGCCTAGTCTACATAGTGAGTTCCAGGCTAGCTGGGGCTACAGGGAGACCCTGTCTCAAAAAGACAGAAAAAAAAAAAAATCTTAAAATCCAAATAGAAAAACAAAAGACTGAGATAGCCAAACCAATACTAAGAAAGAACAGGAAAGTTGGGTGTACAGCTCTTTTTGATTTCAAAATATAATATGGCTTTACAGTAATCAAACCAGTATGGTACTGACAGACATGCAGACCAATAAAGCAAAATAACCCTGTAAAACAAATGTTTGAATCTGTAGTAAATTGAGCTTTACAGGGTGACAAGACTGTGTAATGGGCTCAGGCAGTCTTTTCAATAAATCTTGTTGGGAAATTAAACACACAAATGTAGAAAAATGAGGTTGAATCCTCATTTTACACTGTATACAAAACCCAACTCAAAATGGATTAAAGATTTTCCTGCAACCAAAGCCTTAATTCTTAGAAAAGAACATTGGAAAAAGTTTCATGACACTGGCCACAGCACTGGTTTTCATGAATACAGCACCAAAATACAAGCAATAAAAACTAAATAGAAAGCAAATAGTGACCAGAATAGAAAGGCACCCTATGGAAAGATGGAGTGCATTTGTACTTCATACAAAGGGTTAAGAGCCCAAATAGGAAACTTACACAACCCAATAACAGAAATGTTAATGGCCTGATTTGAAAATTGGTTAATGACTTGGTTAATAGGCATTTCTCCAAAGAGATGTATAAATGTCCAGTAGTTAAATCATAACATACCCAACGATTTATAACATCAAAAAAATATAATAAAAACCATAAGGATGTCACACCTGTCAGGATCAGGATATTATTAGATTTTTGTTTTTGTTTTTGTTTTTTGGTCTCTTTGAAAAAGACAGGGTCTACTTGTAGCCCCAGTTGGCCTAGAAATAGCTATGTAGTCTAGGCTGGCCTTGAACTCACAGAGATTCTCCTGCCTCTGCCTCCTGAGTACTGGGATTAAAGATGTGTGCCATCACACCGAGATATTATTAGTTTTTAAAAGAAAGAGATACATGTTAACAAGAAGGAAGAGAAACTGGAATCTTTTGCACAGTTGGTGGGGATGCAAAAGGATACTGCTGCTGATGAAACCATTACAGAAGCTCAAAGACTTAGGGCTGGTGATGTAGTTCAGTGGTGGAGCACTGGCCTAGCATGTGCAAGGCCCTCAACTCAATCCCCAACACTGAAAAAAAGGTCTCTTTTCTGGATGGTGGTATACTTGTGTCATCCCAGCACTGGGAAGGGGAAGGTAGAAGGATCACAAGCTCTGAATTAGCCTAGGCTATATAGCTAGATCCAGGTTAGCCTGAGCTACATAGTAAGTTCCAGGTCAGCTTGGGCTACATTGTGAAACATTTTGTAAATAGAGAGATAGATGATTGGTAGGTAGATAAATAGATGATAGATAGATAGATAGATAGATAGATAGATAGATAGATGATAGATAGATAACTAGAGCTACCATGAGATCCAGGAGTCCCACTTCTGAGTAGATAGCATACCCAGAAGAATTGAAATCATAACTTTGAAGCTGTATCTGCCCTTCAGTTTCCTTTCAAGCTCATTGTAAAATTATCAATAATAACCAAGAGTTTGAAACAATTTAAATATCAGTTAATGGGTGAAGGAATAAAGGCAGTAAGTGAATGCAGTGGATCACTAAGTCAGCCTTTTAAAAAATAATCAGTGATGGGGCTGGAGCGATGGCTCAGTCGTTAGGCACACTGGCTGCTCTACCTGGGTTTGGTTTCCAGCATCCACATGGTGGCTAACAACCATCTGGGGAGGTCCAACACCCTCTTCTGACTTCCATGGGTACTGTACAACATGGGTACACTTAAATACATTCAGACAATATACTCATACACATAGAATAAAGATAATAGATAAAATATTTTTTAAAAATCAATGATATGCAACAACATGAAAGACTTTGAAAACATTACACTAAGTAAAATAGGACAGATATAGGAAGATAAGATTCTAGTTTCATGAGGTATCTGAAATAGTAATATTCATAGAAATCAAAACCTACAATGCTAGCTACTCGGGGGTGGAGTTGGCAAACTAAGACTTACTAACCAACAGGCATGGTGTTCCAATTAGGTGAGAATAAGGCCTAGAGATCCGGCTACAACATTGTCCCTATAGCCAACAATATCACTTGAAATTTGTTTAAAGGATGTATTTTATATTAAATGCTGTTAATTGATTTGTTTCAAAAGTGAACATTTTTTCAAATTGCAAAGCGACCAAACATCCCCCTCTTCTGGGTAACTGGAGTAACTGCAGCTTTTCTCTAAATTCACAACTGAAGCCTTCTCATTTTATAAGAAAAGACTTGTTAGCTAGCTATCAAGTTACAGAATTGCACCTGCTTCCAGGTAATATTAGTCGTTAGCAAAGCCCCTCTTCCCTTAAGCCCACCTCACCCTCCTGAAAATCCAAGTTCTGTTAGTTTCGTTCCAAGCCCTCATCCCAAGCCATCCACACATTTCTCGTGGACCCTCTCCCAGGCGCTGCAAGTGAAGACCGAGGCTTCCCCAACTCGCCTGCTGTCCTGGGGCCTCTGGCATTTTCTCAATGGACTGTGGCTATTTTCGTTTTGTGCTATGTTTGTTATTAATTATTAAGCTGGAAGAAGTGATTCTTTATTACTTTTTCATGTAAGTTAATGAAATGCTTGCAGTATCATCTGTTGAACATGTGTGTGGTATTAAATATTGCTGAAGATGAAACCAGACATCACACTTTAAATCAGTCATTTCCTGAGAACTGGATGGTAGGAAGAAGTGCATTCCTCCTCGGTGGAGAATTGAATGAGCACAAAGCTCATTCTTAAAATGCCCAAACTCTGAGAATTGCTCCTGGTTCTCAGGAGGAGAGCTTTTCTGTGTAATCAGATTGGCAGGCTTCAGAAAAGCTATTTGGAAAGAATCACAGTATTTGTATAGAAAATCTTATCATTAGAGCCAGCGAGATGCTAAAGTCCCAGGCTGCACAAGCCTGGGAGACCTGAGTCTGATCCCCAGAATCCACTTAAAGGTGAAAGGAAAGAACCAGCTCCTCAAAAGTTGTCCTCTGACCTCCACACACGTGTCATGGCACTCCCCCCCCCAAACCTCCACACACATCATGCACACGTGCACAATAATAATAATTTAAAAAATTAAAAAGAAACATATCACTAAAGATTTCTTTTTCTAAAAAGCAATGACAGATCTTTTATCTTCTGTCTTAACATGTCTACCAAAATGGAGAACTTTGCCTTTAATCTGGACACCTGCTCTGTGGGTGTCTGCGGAGCTGTGATGTCAATGCTAGTGTGTCTCTCAGGACTTGGTATTGTTGGTTATAAATATATTTTTCAAGATATTTCTTATTGCCGATCTAAAGTTTTGTATGATTCACTGTTAGATCTGACTAGACCTTTTAACTGTGTCATGGCAGGGCTGATAGTGAGCGTGCTTCAGCAGTGAGTGCCAGCAGCTCTACGTCTTATTTTTAGCCTGTGTTCATATTGCTGCATTATGGTCACCAGATCTCTTTGTAGGAATCCTTTTTATTCTTATTCATTTTATAACACCGGTTTAATTAATACCAGACAAGGTAATCAGTAAGTACATTTGGCTAGGCTCAAATAAACATGAAATAGTACCTGTGCAGAAGGTGTTGCTCCCTGACCTAGGAGAGTGTAGATCCTCCCTCACGCTGGGAGGCCTGGTGGTTGTGCTTGAAAAATGACTAGGGATACAGGACTCAGAGGGACACGGAATCTGTCAAAACAATATCTCACCCACTGCGGTGACATACGCCTTTAGTCCCAGCACCCGGGAGGCAGAGGCATGCAGATCTCTGTGAGTTCCAGGCCAGGTCTACATTGTAAGTTCCAGGGCTACATAGTGAGACCTTTTTTCTGAATGAATTAAAACTGAGTATTGCATCTTGGTTGCCTTACTTGCATGTAAGTGAAACAGAAACAAGTGAAAAGTGCTACTAGCTTCCTCTTGCTCCCCAAAGGGCCAAGTACTGCCTTCCACACCACCTTTGCTGAAGGGCTGGGGTGGCTGCTGTTGTCGCCTTATTCTCCTTTCTTTTCCTGGACACACACGTTAGTAAAATATGATGAAAATGTATTCCTAGGAAATACATTTGGATTTGGTTTTTTTTTGGTCTTTTTTGAGACAGGGTCTCCCCATAGCCCCAGCTGACCTGGAACTCACTATGTAGACCAGGCTGGCCTCCTCAAACTCATAGAGATTCACCTGCCTCTGCATCCTGAGTGCTGAAATTAAAGGCATGCACCACCACGCTGGGCTGATTTCTTTTATTTATTTATTTTTCTTTTTCACAACTCAGAAAACATGTTTCATCACAGTTACCAGACTGGGGTGGTATTCAACTCATCACTGCTGTTTCTTTTATTTTTAAACATATGTATGTGTATGGGGTTCTGTGTGTGTGTGTGTGTGTGTGTGTGTGTGTGTGTGTGTCTGTGTCTGTGTCTGTGTCTGTGTGTGTGTGCCATGTGTATGCAGGTACCTATGAAGGCCAAAAGAGGGCATCATATCCCCTTGAAGCTGGACTTACAGGCAATTGTGAGACACCTGACGTGGGTGGGGGCCAGAAACCAAACTTGGGTCTTTCTGCAAGAGCAACATGTACTCTTAACCTCTGAGACATTTTCAAGTCCCTCAGAAAGTGACTTTTGTTTGTTTTTATTTTTTATTTTTTGAGACAGGGTCACCCTGTAGCTCCAGCTGGACTGGAACCCACCATTTAGACCAGGCTAGCCACAATTTCACAGAGATCTGCCTGCTTTGGCCTCCCAAGTGCTGAGTTTAAAGGTGTGTGCCACCATGCCTGGCAAGGAAAATGTTATTTAAACAAAAATTGCCACATGTGGTGGTACACACCTTTAATCCCAGCACTCAGGAGGCAGAGGCAGGAGGATCTCTGAGTTTGAGGCCAGCCTAGTCTACACAGTGAGTTCCAGACCTGTTGGAGCTACAAGGATACCCTGTGTCAAACAGACCAAAAACAAAACAAAACTAAAACATAAAAATTATGGGGTTGTGGAGAGTGGTGGCTCATGTCTTTAGTCCCAGCACTTGGAAGGCAGAGGCAGGCAGATCTCTGTGAATTCAAGGCCAGCCTGGTCTACATAGTGAGTTCCAGGACAGCTGGGGCTATAGGGAGACACTGCTTCAAAAAAAAAAAAAGACAAAAAACAAAACAAAACAAAAAATTATGGGATTGATGGTTCAAGAAGTTATGAGCACTAGCTGCTCTTGCAGAGGATCCAGGTTCAGTTCCCAGCACCCATATAGTGGGCAACTACCAGCTGTAACTCCAGTTCAAAGAGATAGGACACCCTCTTCTGGCCTCTGCAGACACTGCACATATGGGTACACTTACATACATGCCAGCAACACACATACACATCAAATAAAAATAAATGAAAAACCCTAAAAATTATAAATAAATATTTTTGTCTTCATAAAACATAGAGTTGTCCTGTCATATTGCCCAGTATGTTTAAATGCTCTGCCTGAGCTCTGCTGTAATCTGGGCTGTCACAAGCTTGCACGTTGCTTTGGGACTTCTGCCAGGAACATTGAAGGAGATGCTGCGTCTGTGAGACAGCAGTGAGACTAGCACTCACCACTGCACACCCTGTACCTGACATCAGGTTTGGAATACAATTGTTTCTCAAGAAACGTTTTAACAAGAACTGGGGATGTAGCTCAGGGGTAGAGAGTGTGTCTGGCCAGTGCAAGCTGGTCCCATGCCAAGCTCAGAAACATAGCAGGGCCATGGGGGAGGGGGCATAGAACTGAAAGTTATTCACAGAAATCACAGAAATGGAAAAGTGTTCTTGTAAATGAATACAGTGGTAATAATGGTTAAGATCCACAAGGAGTTTCCAGATCATTAATACCCATGTTCCTCCAATTTTTGACTCAGCTTTAATAGTTGAGGGCTGGGAAGATGGCTCAGTGTGTAGAAGCATTTGCTGTACAAACCTGACAACCTGAGGTGGATCCCAGATCCGATTTAGAAAACCTGACACTGATACAGGGGCACACCTTGTAGGCCCAGCACTCCTGCAGCGAGATGAGAGGCAGAGACAGAGAATCAGCCAGAATGTCAGGGCCAGCCAGAGTGTCAAGAAAAAAGAGAGACGCTGCCCCCAAGGGTAGAAGGCGAGAACAGATGCCTGAAAGCTGTTTTATGACTTTCACATGTGTTGTGACCGGTGCATGCCTGCACTCACACACATACATTATACACATACATGCACACACAAAATTCTTTTTATAAAATCATAGTTGGCCGGGCATGGTGGTGCACACCTTTAATCCCAGCACCCGGGAGGCAGAGGCAGCGAATCTCTGTGAGCTTGGGGCCAGCCTGGCCTACAGGGAGTTCGAGGCCAGCTGGGGCTACAGGAAGACTCTGTCTCAAAAATAAACAACAAAAATCAAAAAGAAAAAAAATCATAATTGAAACTAAATGTATAGATATAGGTGATGCAGATATACCTCCCATGTGAAGGCCCCAAGTTCAATCCCCACCATTGCAAAAATTAATTAATTAATGAATAAATGTTAGTCTGATTTAACATGACACCAAATTTGAGTAAGAAATAAAAGAGCCTAGTTCTGCTGATGGTTCTACAAGCATTTCATTGACTTACATGCTTGTAAATTAGCAGACTGATGGGCCGGCCTGCTGAGGGGCTGATGGGTCTTTGGTATCTGATTCTTGAAACTGCAAAGCTGAAGATGAGACCCTAAGTCCCACGGTCATGCAGGTGTGGCCTGTGCTGCTGTGGCCTTCCTAAGCCACATTGCACTTAAACCTAAATAAAGAAACAGCTTCACCCTCAGCATTCACTTAAAGACCAACAATGGACTCATACACTGAGACCCACCTGTTCCTGCAGATGTCGCATGGAACTCTGCTCCTGAGCCAGGCTCATTCATACTTTTGTTTATCTCCAACATCAGTTTGGGAAGTAGAAGCTAGGGTCCATCCTTATCATCAAAGAAGTTTACCCTTTGATCCCTAGGTCTAAACACCCATAATTTCAGGCAGACTTCCTTTTTCTCACTGCTTCTATGAGAACCATGCTGCTTTGCAGCGCTTTGCTTTGAGATGTTAATCCAGCATATCCTTATTCCTATCTTGGATGGAAATCCTGGGGAATTAAGGCCATATGCCCAGGTCACAAGAGGAGGACATGGCTTTTGGTTGCCAGATTAAGTGTAAATCATTAGTACAGATCATGTCCACACTGTAAGTCATTACTGCATGCTGCTAGAGGGACGTAAGTGCACATTCTACTGTGAACCCCCTCTCTATGAACCCTTCATCTAGAGTTCAGAGTTGCATACCTGGCTCCCCAACCCACTGTCCAACTCTGGGCTTTCTGTGTGGCTATTTCCTCTGGATTTAAATAATCCCTCTTGAGGTTGGAAAAATGGCTCAGCAATTGAGTGCCTACAGCTGTGTAAAGGACCTGGATTTGCTTCCTAGCACCTACTCTGGGCAGCTCACAACCACCTGTAACTCTAGCTCAAACACTCTCTTCCTGCCTCCTGGAGCACTGCACTCATATGCACAAGCCCCCTCCCCAACACACACATATAAACATTATTAAAAATAATCCTGGAGAGAGGAGGGAGACTCACAAGATTCTGGAAGCTTATGAGCCTCAGGAAACTTAAGACGACTCAGAAGGCCCCTCCTGCAGTTCTGTAGGTAACCAAGAACTAGGGGTGGGGTAGCAGACTCTGGCGGTGCCTCCACGTTGTGTAGGGAGCTCCAGGATTGCAGCTTTGCTGAGTCATTACCCATGCCATGCTGGGCTTTTTGGCCATGTTGCCTACTGTCCCATACTCCCATGAGTAGCCCCAGTGAACTCTTTGGATAAACAAGGTAGGTGAACCTTTTCTAGGTTCTATGTCCTAGAAATCATATCTTCCCATGTGCCCCCATCCCACTGGCATTACTACCCCTGCCCCTGTCTCCCTGCCTTCTTCACTCCTACCCCTGTATCGGCACAAGGCTAGCCTGTACTGACTGGAATTCCTGTCTGTGGCCACCAACCTGGCTCTCCTTCAACTCTCTTCTGACACAGGAAAGTAGTTTCTAGGGAGACAGGAAAAGGAAAACAAAGGGAAAAAGGAGACGAGAGCTACTTCTGCCCTTTGGGGACACCGGCTGCCATCCCTGGGCCTGAGGAGCAAGCTGCTTTGGCAGAGGGTGGACAGGACCTAACTTTGGAGTCATCAGACATGAGTTCCAAACTGCCTCTGCCTCTTAACTGCTGTGCAACTTCATACTGCAGTCTAGTCTAGTGTCACACTGTCCCGTCCAGCAACAACTGATGGCAGTTTGTCATTCAACGCTTGAAAGGGGTGAGTCCAAACTGAGAGGAGCTGGAACATGCAACTCACGTCAGAGCTCAGGGACAACGTGAAAAGGAGAACTGAAAAGCTCATTAACTCTAGGTAGACTGATTTCATTTGAGGTGATTAGATTTTGATGATATATTATTCAAATTAATTTTACCTGTTCTTTCACAGTTTTAGTGTGGTTGCCAGAAAATTTATTTTTACCTGTATGGTCCACATTTTACTTCTACTGGCCAGCACTGATCTGTAAGATGAGGGGGATGGCCGGCTTTCCTGGGCTCCAGAGCAGGCAGAAATTAAACTTTGTGTCCTAGTGGAGTGGCCCAGTTCAGCATTTTTCCTGGATTATGTATGCGTGCGTATACGTGCATGAGCATGTGGTATATCTGTATATGTGTGTGATGCATGTATGTGGGTATATGTATGTGTGTGCATGTGTTATGTATATGTGTATGTGTCTGTGAATGTTCTTGTGCTGGAACTCAGGCCTCACAAATACTAAACACACACTCCTCTACTGACCTCCACACCACCCAGGTTTTTTTCAAGTATGAAGCAAACAGTTGCATTGAGGTAGCTGCTGTGTTCTACAAGCTGCACTCTGTCCTCCAGGCACTGCTGCACATTCAGCTAGCAGATCTGAGATGCCCAGTTGAGGAAAACAAGGCCAGTTTTAGCTTATGGTCAAATCAACCGCGTCCCTGGTCCAGATCCTTTTCCATCCCAAGGTAATTTTTCATTGGCCTCTTGAGGCACTGGAGAGGAAACGATGCAGACACGTGTGCATTCTAAAATGTGGCTGTGGACTAGAGCAACACTGCAACTGCTCTGCACACAGCTGTGAGTCTGTACTGTCCCCATGTCCAACTCGGTTCTGCCTCATGGTTTTCATTCACTTTTGTAGGTTTTCCTTTGTTTTGTTTTTTTGTTGTTTTGTTTTTTGCTTTGTTTTATTTTGGTCTTTTTTGAGACAGTGTCTCCTTGTAGCCCCAGC